TCCCTGTTCCATGTATGATGCGGATCTTGGACTCAGTATGAGGTCCTTCCCACAGGGTCTTTGGCCAGCATAAGAGACTGGGGCTCTTGTGTAGCAAATGAGCATTTCTGGAGGCTTCCCTTTGGCTCTCACCACCCTGATGGCGCAGAATTGGTTCTAGGTGCGGAATCAGAAGTGACCGCGCAGCGGCAGTGCAGGTTCACTCATCATAGACCGAGCGTGCCCTGGCTGGGGTTCACCCGCGGAAGCATCCCAGGTCACCCAAGCCAGGCACCGCAGAGTTCACGGGGGTCATCTGGGAATAGGACACTCATGTGAACTGTACCCAGTCTTCAGGTCAGGCCATGTCCACAGCCCTGTGGGCACGGGTCACGTTCAGAGGCCTTCAGTGTCATGGCCAGAGACTCAAGTCATGCCTACCTGTGTGATGATCATAGCGTGTTCCGCCAAAATCTTACACTTTCCACATCCACCCCAGAGCATAGATTCGACTAAGGACAGCCCCTAAATCCCGAGCCTTTCACTAAACTGACAATTGCCTCCCCAGTGAACACTTCGGATCTCCTTAGCCCTAAGGGGCCAGACATTGACATTCCCATTCAATGCAGGTTTGAGATGCTAATTCGGGAGCTTAAGATGCTAAAGAACTGGGAGTGCCACCACTGCTTTGCTCTGAGGTCCAGGGTCCTTGTATTGCCGGAGACAATCTACTAACTTGGGTGCAGCCGACATCGTGCTGTTTGTGGAATCCGTAAAGGATGGTGATCGATAGGGTTTGTGCGCTGCCCGGTCTGTGCCCAATTGCCTGCCTGTGTGCCTGCTGTGGAATCTTTACACCTGGCCAACTTGTGCTCATGTGAGCCTGATGGTGCGTTTTCCAGAATCTCACCTGTGCTCTGCCCTGGAGCCTGTGTGCTGCTGGAATCAGAGTCAAGGACCTCACCAGAGGACAACAGTGCCATATCTGCTGGGTCAGGGATTGAAGTTGGGACAGGAGAGCAGAGACGTCAGAAATGAGGGATCCCTGTGTTCTGAGGTGATCATCACTGGGACCCAGGGACTCAAGCACGTGCTCCAGAAGGAATCGTTTCCCACAAGGCCTTCAGCAGGAACAGGGATCGTGGGAGCCTGCCAAGCATAGTGCCCCAGTGTTCCTGGAGTCTCGCTGCCCGGAGGCCGTGGAATCAGTTGAAGGTATGGAAACAAGTGGCCGCGTGGCACAGGGCAGGCTCATGCATCACAGCTTGAGCCCAGCTACCTGGGGTTCACCTGCAGAAACGTCCCGGGTCACCCAGGCCAGGAATCGCATTGGTTCCTAAGGGTCATCAGGGATAGGACCCTTGTGTGAGCCACATCGGGCTACATGTCCTATTCACCCCAGGGTGCACCGTTGAAGGCTGGGGAGATAGGAGGAAATATTTGGGGCACAGTGAAGTGTCCCCATTTTTTTTGGATTATGGGGATCTCGGCCTCAGCCTGAGACCCTTCTCGCA